ACACACACACACACACACACACACACACACACACACACACACACACAGTTGAATGCTAAAACTAACCAGAACACCAAATAGCCATTCTATTTGAATTCTGTCTATAAAGTTTTCAGAAGTTCATGTGGTTCTAAAGTATCAACTTAGTAAATACTTCATGGTCCTCCTACTAGGTCACATAGTTGTGGTTCTGTCAAAAGAAAGCCCCCAATTTCTGACTCCGAAGAGACACTAGAAAGATTAGCCTAAAGATGAAGTGAAAGACCTGGATAAATCCAGATCCTCCTAGCACAAAAACATAGAGCCAAAAATCTAAGCAGGGAGGGAAAAATCAGAAATCTAGGATTAGCCAGTTCAGGGTTTCAGGAACTAGCAGAAGATAAAGTTAGATTGTAATCTTGAGAATAATCTTGAGAAACAGGGAGTATCCCCCTAGTAATTATCATTGGTATTTTTGGAATACTGTGTTTCAGGAACTAGCTGATTATGACCTTGAGAGTGATCTTGAGAGGCAGGGAGTTGCCCCTTGTGACCATCACTGGTATTTTCGGAATTTTCTATGACACCCTCTCTGCCCCTTTCGGATTACTGGGCTGTGGTTTCTTCCCTTAAAAACCCCTTCTCCACCTGCTCGGGTCGAACTCTTCCCCTGAGTGGGTTATGAGTCTCGGCCCCAGGGCACTGGTTCCCATCTTCTTGTCTTGTCATTAAACCTCCTGTGATTGCAGCAAGGATGGTCTCTCATGAGTTACTGGGGGGGTCATGTTATCCCGAGACTTGAGTGAGAGTCTCCCCACACTGGGGGTCTTTCAACATGTAAATAAGAATTGGCTAGTCCTACTGCTTAAGGAATAAAGACAATAAATGTTAGTACATGCTGAGTACTCACACAAATCTTACTTTTGAAGTAGATTCTTATCTACCTTTGGTGGAACCGGATAGTACAATAAGGAACATAAACCTTAAAAGCACGGCTTTCTTTTCTAAACTGTCATGGTTAGTAAGAAAGTGATTAGTGAGCTATTGCCTCACCAAGGGCAGGAGTTCTGTACTCCATCCCTGAGGTTTAGTGCCGCACAAAACGTTAATCCACAATAAATGGGTGTTTGTGAATTGAATGAATAATGAGTAACTTAATGACCTAGGTCATCTACAAGAAATACTTAGTGATTTGAGGTCATGTCAAGCTAACAATCAATATTAATCCTGATCAATTGTTTCCAATTAGTTCTTGAACTGTAACATGAATCTTGTTTTGTAACTCTCTCACTAAAGACAGCTTTCTACTATCTCAAGTCACCTGCAATGGGTGGAGAACACGAATGAGTGCCTGAGTGTAATTCTTCTAGCCACCGGTAAGGCTGCACTTCCGGGTTCTGAAGCCGTGCATGTACCCCCCTGTGTGCGCATGTGTGGGTCACCCGCCATCTGCGTCACCAGCATCTGACACAGAAGCCTCCGTATGCAGGTGCAGGGTTTAGCGTTGCCCATCATCAGCGTCTGACATGGGCACATCTTTCCCCTCGTGCACATGTGCTAGGAAGCCTTTAAAAGCTAAATGTGCCATTCCTATTCTCTCCTCTCTTCCGTCCACACGTTTCCCTGAGCTCATGTGCACATAACCCTCTTAATAAACGCCTACATGGGTTTGTTCATGTCTCGTGTTCTGTCCTCATTTCCACCAGACATTTTTACTGAGACCTTCTGCCAGGCTCCTCTAATGGCCCACCCGCCAGTTATTTGGGGCAGAGTTTTCTCATGGTCTCTACATTCTGTGTTATACTTTTCCAAGTCACCCTTTGAAGCTGGGTGTTTTTTGTTTTTTGTTTTTCTCTTCCAGATGTCAGTACAATGCCATCATTTTAGAGAAGCTGTTCGTGGACCTCCAGTCTGGGTCGGATACTAAAAATTTGTGCACTCCATTTGCAAAGTACTTCTCTCCTGTAGTATAGTAATTATAATTACTTACGATTCCAATAACTTGCTAAATTATTTTCTTAATCTTTCTCACAAATAGAACATACAATTTATAGAAATCAGAGCTTTTGTATATCTTGATCACAGAGCATCCTTCTGGCAAAAGTAGAATGTGTACTGATGAAGATGATGATGAGATGGTAACCCAGATATATTTGAATATTGAGGTCCAAAACTTGCCTTGGCAATTATTATTTTTCAATGATCTGTACTTTTCCAACACGTATAACTGGAAACTGTAATCTAATGTCTTATTGTTCTATAGAAACAGATAGTAGTAAAAAATTCGTAAATTATATATATTTTTTCTTTTCTAAATGGAACACCTATCTTGATGGTCATGAGTTTCACTAATTGTTGCTCCTGACCTTGGCATGGCTAAAGGAAACTCCTCTCTGTACCAGGGACCCTCCTCAGTGCTCATTGGCCTCAGCTATAAATTCCTGAAACATGAACTCCTAGCAACCGACACCCTCCCCAGAATGGTATAACTGCTATGAGGTAACTAACCCTTGCCCTGCCTTCTACAAAACCCACCTATCACTGCTCCATATACAGGGGGCGAGACACCTGTTATTGCTGTGTTCAGGGGAGACAGAAATCTCCTCATGCAGCTAAGGGGAGTGAGTGTAGCAGTTTCTCACACTGTTGAAAATTCCACAGAAATAAGATAATTGTGGTCTCCACCTTGAAAACCCTTCCTTCAGCCCCTTCGAAGTGGCACGCCTTCCATTTGGCTTTAAGGCTGTTATGCTAGCAATGTTTCGGAGATTCAGCTAATCAAAGTTTCAATTGAACTTTGTTCTTTCTCCAGCGGTCTGGAGCTTCATCACAACCTCAGAGGATGGGTTAGAGATTCCAGTGGCTACTGGCATGGGGACACTGACTCTTCAGCTATTGGAAGCCTCGGCACAAGAGTTTGCAAGACGGATCTGTCTGTTTTTGAGAAATCACCTGTAACATGAGGGGGTTGGCTTGTTGGGGTTTCTGTCCCGCCCAGTACCCCACAACCGACAACTCCCAAGGAGAAATCACACACAGGACTCCATAAGGTTATAAACTGATTGGCCCATTAGGTCAGGCTTCTTGTTAATCCTTGTAACTTACATTAATCCATTATCATTATCTATGTTAGCACATGGCTCCGTACCTTTCTCAGCTGGGCAAGTTACATGCTGTCTCTTCGGTGGTCTGCGCAGGAGTGGCGAAGGGACCTTCCTCCTCCATAGCCTTATTCTATTCTCATTGCCCCGCCTCTACTTCCTGTCTGGTTGACCCGCCTATGCTGCCTGTCTGGCCAATCAGCGTTTTATTAAAATATGATTGACAGAATACAGACAATTCTTCCACATCAATCACCATTTGAAAAATGTGTTGTGTTTGAAAGCAGAGATTTATATGAATATGTCCCCAGAGTATCTGCCAAAGTGTGCACACAGCTCCTAGCCCACTTGAGTCAGTTCCAGAAAGTGATGCTGAGCCTGTGCCTCCCTCTCCTCCAAATGCAAATAAGTGGTCTGGCGGTCTAGGAGCAAGGACAGTGACAAAAATAAGTCTCCTGAGCGTTCATGAAAAGGAATAAGGGAGCTTCCAAGGCATGGCAGAAGCTGGTGTTTTGTAAGCTTCTCCTAAGGAAAGGAGTTCACCCTAGATAGGTAGCCTAGATAGTCTGTCATCAAGGGCAAACTAAAGTATACTTTTATTAAAATCGGGTGAGACTACTAGCTTCATCTGACATGTATAAAGATCATACATGAGGGATACTTATAGGAGCCTATGACACCTCACAACAGATACATCACTGCAGAGTCTCACCCTACCATGTATGATGGATGACCTCATGGAAAGAGAAACTCAACCCTGTTTTCAATTAACTATCTACTCCCTTTTAATCTTCAAAAATCACCTGCAGCAGCAGAAGCAGGTGAGGGGGGCGGGGGAACTGCAGTCTCCGTGAGGGTCTGCTGAATTTAATTCACCTGCTAGGAAGTGTCAATAGCTCCATTACCATCACCATAGACCTGGCTTCCTCTGTATCATTCTCTAGTTTCCATGGCTACAGGGGGCACAGTCCAAGACAGACTATTCTGACCTGTGTAAAAAGCTCTACACAACAGCTGGTAGAAAACAATCCATGGTATTTTTAGTTTAATGTCCAGCAGGTTAGCAGGGGGAGGAATCAGTGGGTGGGGACTTACAGCTTTAGGAAAGCAAAGATCAAATGTTTAGTTAGAATACTAAGAGCAAACCCAGGATTCAATTCCAGGGAAGACAAGTTGAGCAATGGGAAGATGAGATTCAAACCAGCAATTGGGAGGCAGGGTGTATTTCACCAAGTCTTCGAAATTATGTCGCCCTCATTCTGTGTCAGCTTGCTCCTGCTAATAGAATACTATGCCTTCCTAGTGAAAAAATAAAACTTCACACTTAGAGATCTAAAGAAGCTCTTTAATATGAATTGGATCAGGCTCTGGCTGATGCCCAAGAAAGATCAGTCATGAAAGAAAACGTTGTAACATATATTAAGGTATGTGTATGTATTAATCCAGGGGTTCCCAACTGTGGGTGGTGATACCCTTTTAGGGTCAAATGACCCTTTCATAGGGGTCACATATCAGATACTGTTAATCACTCATCGAGAATAAGACCATTACCACAGTTTAGAGCCAAAATTGAAACAAGTTTTACTTAAATACAGGTCAGGGGGATGGGCTATGTTCAGATCCATACCCAGGTTCCTGGGAAAATGGCCCAGACTCAGTTTGTGGCAGCCTAAGAAGGAAACTCACAATTTATTGCATTTTCCGTCAGGTCTAACCAGGGACAAGCAGACATCCTCACATACCTCCAGCTTGTGAATCTCCTGTAGTACCTCACACAGAGATGCAGATGGATCAAGCATACTTGTTTAGGGGAGTGAAAACATGTGGCTTGTTATCTCCCATAAACAATAGCCTCCAGCATTTCAAGAACTATATGTACTTGGGCACAGGGCTTGCAGATCAGAGTCATTTTTGTCTCATGGATCTCTTAAGTATTGTAATTAAAATGTGACTTTGACTCTCAGGATATTCTACATATCAAATATTTACATTACCATTTATAACAATGGAAAGGTTACAGTAATGGAGTGGTAACAAAAATAATTTTGTGGTTGGGGCTCACCACAACATGAGGGACTGTATTAAAGGGTCACGACATTAGAAAGGTTGAGAACATTTGCCCTGTGCTTATATCACCTCCAAATGCTGTCATCTTAAACTCCTTCTCAGGTTCCAGCTCTAGGTTTCACTTTGAACAGTTTAAACAGAGACAGGAGACTGCAAGTCTAGCCACTTGCACAGAGCTAGGATTTACCTAGCAAAAAATATTCCTGGAATTTTTCTTTAGCACACCAATGTTGTCCTTTTCAATAATTGTTACTGGGGGTTGTCTTGCCCACCTGGCAGAATTATGCTTTCTTTGGTAAAAGTATGGGAGGTGGGGAAATCAAGGGTGGCTGTGACCCAGCGCTGCCCCCATGTTCTACCTTAGAGGCATGTCCTTAGACTTAGACCATATGAGGTGGGTTAGACGTCAGGGTCGTCTCCTCTTGCTGTGGCATGGAGCCTAACTGATGGTCAATCATGGTGAATAAGCATTAGCAGAAAATTCCTCAGCAACTCTAAACTTCAATTAAGGTATAAAATTATTTTCTAGACAGTTGCTCAGAAGCCCAGTTAGTGTCCAGGCTTATTGAAAGTAGCATTCTACTTTGGGTAAGTTAGTATTTACAAAGCAAGTTTATGAGTAAATCCTTCATAGCCTCAATTATATTACTTCAAGTTTCTCCAGCATCATTTAGACACCAAACCTCATTGATAATGAAGGCTCTAAGCCTACAGATGCACAGATGCAGAAGACAGAAGTCTGATGTAAAAGACATCAAAAGAGCAGGAGACACATTCATTCATTCACTCATTTATACATTCATTCTTTTTGTTTTTGTATGTGTGTATGCGCTGTTGTACTTACCTGTGTGTGCAAATGTGGAGAGTTGCCAGATGGTAACCTTGGATTCTTCTTTTGCTTTCACCTTTATTTTTGAGGAAGGCTCTTCCACTGAGCTTGGATCTTACTAAGTCAGTTATGCTGCCTGGCCAATCAGCTTCAAGAATCCTTTGCCTGCCTGTCCCCAGGGCTATGGTAACTGGTGCATAGTGCCACACTTTCTTTAAAAAAAAATGAAAATTAGGCATAGACACCAGAGTTCACATACTTGTGAACCAAATGCTTTTTCACTGTGGTATGTCTCATCATTCATATTCATTCATTCATTCATTCATTCAGTACAGCAAATATTCCATGCAATACTTGCTAATATGCCACAACAAAATACTACAAACTGAATTGCTTAATCCATGGATATTTTCTTGCATTTCTAGAGGAGAGAATTGTGGGTCAAAGTTCCCAACAATTAAGAAAATGTTGAGGCTCATATCTTGGTCTGTTGATAGCTACTTTATAGATATGTCTTCTTAACATTTCTCCCTCTTCTTCCTTAGTTAAATCCTTACCTAATAACCATATTTAAGCTTAAAGAACCTGTAACCAAATATAGTCTCATTGAGAGAGAGGACTTCAATATGCGAATGTGAGTTATAGGATACACAGTCTATAACATTCCACACCAGTGAAAATTTCCCTTAAGGTGTTACCTGTGATGAACATCTTCCCCTCGATACCCTGCAGTAGACCTTTAACATGGATCCACAAATCAATCACCTGAAGTATTTGCAAACAATTTAGAGAGAAGTTACAAGTGTCTGAGGCTGGGGAGATGGATCAGTCAGTGAAGTGGTTGCTTCTTTAGCATGAAGACCTGATTTCTATCATCTTCACTCAAAAAGTCAAGTATGGCAGCATGTCCTGGGAAGAAGACGGCCAGGATTCCCGGGCTCTTACCCAGCCAATCTAGCTGAATTAGTAAGTTTTATCTTCAGTGAAAGACCACATCTCAAAAGTGAGGTGGAACTCAGCTGAAGAGTGGCACCAGACATCGGCCTCTGGCCTCCAAACATCCCATGCACACACACATGCATGTTCACATCCCTATCCACAAGCATATATACACAAACACACGCATACAGAGAGACTGGAAGGAGGAAGACCACATAGGGCCAATATGATACTAAGAACTGTGAAAGGTGAGACATGGTCAGGTAGGAGCTCCTGAGATAGCTTTGCAGCATGCTTATAATGAATGGGACATGAATGGATGCCCTGCCTGGTTTTAGCAAAATGGTATAAGAGGGAGTACCAGAAAAAAATGCAGAATAGTCAGGCAGTTGATCTGTGTGGTATAAAAGATGATATGTATAATAAAATAGAGATCATTTTTCCTAATAATATAAAGATTTAATTTCAGTAGGTGAGTCAATAGCAGCGTACTAGGCATAAAGACTTAGTGATTCTTTTTGGATATAAGAATCTGCTGTGGGCGCACAGGTGTGATGGAAAAGGACTGAATGGATAGGACAATTTTAGCCCGCATTGTGTAGTAGTTTAAGAGGTTGATCGATACTATACTTTATTTGGCAAATACAGCTGTCCAATTTTTGGAGATTATATACTGCCTCTGCAAGGAAAATAGAGATTCACTGGCTATCAAGCACATGCATTGTGCAGTCCATCATCTGAGCAAAAGAGCTGTCCTTGTAAAGCAAGATGTCTACTTCCTTAATGACTACGGCACAGATCAGACTGGAAACAAGGGTGTTCTTAAGCGTAATACCTTCTTCAAGGAGTGCATACAAAAGCTAAGGCAACTTATGCCTTTTTCTTTTAAAATTATTTTAGTTATATTTATTTACTCAATTATCTATTATGTAAATGCAGCATATATGCCTGTATGTGTGTGTGTGTGTAAGTGTATAGAGGTCAGAGGACACACTCAGGATTTGGTTTTCTCTTTCTGTCATGTTGGTCCCAGAGGTCAATCTCAGGCCATCAGTCTTGGCAGCAGGTGCCTTTATCCACTAAGCCATCTTGCCAACCCATTCTTCATCATTCTTGTCCTCTATTTTTAATTAGCATATACTGTTTATACAAACTTCCTTTTATTTCATTTTCATGCATATATACTGCATTGTAATCATGTTCCCTTCCACCCCTGCTAATCTCTTTATCCCTTTCTACTTTCCAGCTAGTCCCCTAATGCTTTCACGCCCCCCACTCTGATCCAGTGAGTTACATTATGGCTGTTTCCAGGATAACTGCGCTTCCAGGATTTCCAGGAACCAGACCACAGTACCGAACAACCCCCTGCCTGCCCCAACACCTCCAAGCCACTATATGGTGCCTGTCTGTCCTTTGATAGATATAGGAAGTTGTGAATCCCTTCCCCTCCAGGACAAGATGTCGGTAGACCCAATGTTGGGAAGGTTCCCTGTAGTGGGCACAGCTCTCATGGGTTTGTAACTGCAGTTACCTGTTTGTAACTGTGGCTCCCTGGTTCTCTTTAGAGAGCCAGCTGCAGAACCTGCTAAGAAGCCACTGTTGGCCCAAGCAAGGCATGCAGTCAAGTCCTGCAGCCTGCAGAGGCTGGGAGATAGAAACTTGATTACTTGCAAGTTACCTGTAAGCTCCTGAATGTGGCTCTTTCACCAGCCTGCATCTGTCTCTTCATCAGGTCTGAGCTTTCATGACCCTCTTCTGCACCAGGATTCAGCAGTCCCTGTGTCTAGCAGTAGAAATGACCTCCTTCACTACATTTCTTCCCTGAGTCTGATGAGTTTTGCTCTAGAATCTGGATGGAAGCAGACAATATCAGGATGACAGCAACATGGAAATCTAATGGGCTTGTGCTATTCACTTGCCCTTAGCGATGTAAGACACCCAACTGCACTGAAGTAGATGGTAACTATGACTTATAGGTCCCCAGCAACCTTATGTAACTCTCTATTTGTCATACATACCATGAACCATAGCCCAGAACTGGTGGGCCAATTTATCCTTGATTTCTAGGTACATGTATTTCTAGGTACACCAAACAATGTCTGATGAATCACTCTTTGTGAAAGTTCCCTATTTGCCATCTTATGCCTATACATGACTGACCTGTACAATAACCAGTGCTGTCGGTTTGATACGGCCTAGAATCACCTGGGACGTGTCCTCTAAGCCCTCCTGGGAAGATAATCTTGATTATATAAATTGAGGGGGAAGACCTGAGCAGTGTGGGTGGAACCATTTCTTACCTGGGATCTAGCTCCTGCTAATGGACCCACAAAACAATGCAGTAGGCTGTAAGCAGGAACCTTGAACCCATATCACTCAGACCTTGCTGTTCTCTCCAGCAAATCTTTTCTGTGTTTTGTACTTTTGCTTCTGACTAAGAACCTTCATGACTTTGCTGTTTGTGAATTTCTCCATTTCTTTGAATAGGATGCCACAAACCTGGAAATACCACCATCTTTCTGAGATAAATATACCTACTTTTGGTACAGCATCCCTATGGGGCCTGTGGAATGTTACATTCTCTCCAAGAAGGAGGGATAGGGAGGGACACTGGACCCTCACTAGAGCATAGGCCCACTATTGTCACCCATTTGTATGAAAAATTTCCCTAACTGCATTTGGATGACTACATAGGTTTGGGACTAGTAGGAAAAGGTGGTTCCATCTATGTGCTGATGGGAGAGACAGCATCCATAGCGGGCAAAGGTTCTCCAGTGTGGCTACTTTAGGAGCACACATGTTCCTTTGGGCAACATCTCCAAATATACTGGGTAGCTTTTATTGTCCATTTGACACAACCAGGTTAGTAATTAAGTAAGGAGTATCAATTGAGTGATTATCTGGATTGAATTTGTCTGAAGGAGGGCTTAGCCTGCTGCATGTGGTATCAAACCTGGGCAAATGATTCTAGACTGTAGAAGAAAGTTCATGACCCACAGAGAGTGAGCCAGTAAGCTTCATTCTCCAAGGTTTCTGCTTCAAGCCTGACCTTGAGTTCCTGCCATGGCTTCCCTAGATTATGGACTATGTCCTTTTCGTTGAAATAAATTCTCCTTTGCCCAGTTTTTGTATGTTTGTGTGTGTGCGTTTTGTTTATTTGTTTTGCTCATGGTGTTTATTACAGCTACAGAAACCAAACTAGAGCAATAAGTAATCTCAACAAACTTATTTGCTTCCTAGGTTGAGCAGATGTTGTTCATATCTCCCCAAAGGAATACAATTTCACAGCACACCAGCGGAGATAGAGAACCCTGGTACCTAATTTACCCCGCCTCTCCTGTCTTCAAGGCCTCTTTCCACCTATTCTCCTCCAAAAGCTCAGCAGGTTTGAAATGCCTACCCTCCTAGGGACTTCCTCGGTGCAACTATTGTTTATCAGATTTTATTTTCCTTCCTCCCTATTGTTTTCCCCGATTCCTGGAATTTGTTTGTTCAGTGTTACTGGTTGAAGTCAGTGCAATAGAGAACTGGTGTACTCCCATTTCCATTTTTTTATCCAAAGAATTGAAATGTGTTTGGGCTCAGCTGTCTCAATTTTAGGAGAGAACTGGAATTATTCTTAATTATGGATCTACATATGATTTTAAAAAGACAAAGAGTTAAGTACCCCATGACACAGAGACTTCTTCCCAAATACGCGATGCATCTTCCAACTTCTCACACTCATTTGGACTTCAGTTGGTGCCATCAAAGAATTTCCAGCACTGAAACTCAAGTGTCAGAAAGCATTGGTTTGGAACAGAGTGGTTAAAGGGCATCTCATCTGTGACTCTTCCCCTTCACCAGAGTTTCATGTTAACCAGAATAATATGTGACGGTTAATATTGGTTGTAACCATGTCAGGGTATAGAATTCACAACAACAACAAAGTTTCTGGGTATGTCTGTGAAGGATTTTCTAGACTGAGTTGAGATGGGATGGTACATGCCAGCTGTGGGAGGCACCCTTCCATGAGCTGGCATTCTGAACTGAATGTAAAGCAGACAGCCGGTGGTTAGGTACCAGCTTTCCTTTTTCTGCTTCCTGACTGGATGCCATGAGACCAGCAGCCTTATGTTCTGGCTGCCATGTCTTCCCTGCCATGGTGATCTGTAACCCTGAACTGGAAAGAAGCTCTTACTTCCTTAAATTGCTGTGGTCAGGCTTTTTACCTGAACACACGGACAGTCACTTACGCACTCTGTCCATATGGCCATGCTTTAACCGGGAAGATGCCTTCTGTGCTCCAACTGCAGTCTGAAAAACAGATTGTTGTGCTTAAACTTGAGATTTTGGAAGCTTATAGCATGAACAATTTGTGTTCAGTCTTTAAACTAATTAGACTAGCATCACAAAATGAGTTACCACTGTGTAAAGTATAAGAGAGAAGAACATATGCACAATTATGTGTGGCTGGCCTGGAACAGCACTTCCTGGTGAGGGGAGGAGCTAGCCTGGAATAGTGCTTCCTGGTGAGGGGAGGAGCTAGCCTGGAATAGTGCTTCCTGATGAGGGGAGGAGCTAGCCTGGTATAGCATTTTCTTACATAAGTTGCTTTTAATGGGTAGAAGATGCAGAGACAGAAGAACATAGTATATTTATCAGTCTACTTTTCAGTAATCCATGCCCAACAACAACAACTAACTCTGAGCTGTAGCAGTAGCACAGGCTCCTACCACAGCCTGTCTTTTATGGAAAGAACACCCTGACTCCTTCAGCTCTGTTCACGTTTCAGGCTGCACCCTGGATGTGTATATGTATATGGCATTGACTGTGAGAGACAGCATTACTTTCACTTATTTGTAAGATCAAGATCTTTGTTCCAAAGGGACCATTTGCAGTTTCTGGAAAGACTACCATGTTCTTTGTCTTGGAAATAGGTGCTGTATTGATGGGACTTCGGAGTGTCTTCTCAAGGTATGGATGACAATTACGTGGGGTGCTATGACAACAGAGAGGAAAGAGAGGTAAGGATGCATGTAACTGGAACAGGGTAGATAGTTGGTGACAGAGGGCAAGGGTGCCAGAAACAGTGCTCTCCACCACTATATATCCTGTATTGTTCTTGACAGCAGAGGCTGAGCTGGCAACCCTCCTATTGACACCTGCCTCTTACATGACTGCTAAGCAATTGAGCAGGCATGTCCCCTGTTCTGGGTCTATTTCCCCTACTGCTGTAAGACTGTTTCTGTTTGTTCTATGTGGCAAAGTAGAAGATACTTCAGCACGCAAATATGTCTTATGAATTTGATTTAAAAAATACAAAATTAAATCACCTGTATTTCAAGGATATTTTTCTTTTATTTCCCCTACTTTTCTTTTCTCTCCCTTTTATATGTATATGCATTTGCATATTTATGGGCTCTGGAGTGTATATGAGGGTGGGTACGCATGTATATACATATGTGGATGCCTGAGGTCTGTTGTAGAGTGTTTTGTTTAATGCCTTTCCACCCAATATATTAAGACAAAAGAATCTGGAACTCGCCATTGTGGCTAGTATGGCTAACCATCCTTCTCAAGTGGCTTCGTGTCTCTGTCTCCAAAAAGATGGAGTGACAAGAGGAATGCTGTTCCCATGTGGCTTTGACGTGAGTTCTGGGAGCTGAAATTCACACTGAATGCTTTCCCACAAAGCCATCTCCACAGCTTGGCAAGAACAGTTTTCTGATGTGAGTAGCTAATGTTGACTTTCTTGATCAATTTCAAGGAAAATAAACAGCACTAATATTCCAATTCATCAAACAGCATTTTCTATGATATTGACAGAAGTAGACAAGCACATGTGTAGAATAACAAAATGAGGATGAACCATCAAAGGAAGGGAAGGAGCAGGTGTGTATATCAGCTTTTAACATCTTCTTCGTTTTCATTGCTGAGTTCACAGGAGCCAAATGCAGCTCCAAAACTTGGCTGCACCCACAACACCCAAGAAATGTGTTTTGAATATATTAATCTAATATTCAATATGATATATTACCTAAAAATTCTGTTTTCTTTTTAGTTGACTACAAAATTCTTTTGTTGGGTGGTGGTGGCACAACCTTTAATTCCAGCATTTAGGAGGCAGATGCAGGTAGATTTCTGAGTTTGATACCAGTCTGGAAAATAGAACAAGTTCCAGGACAGCCAGGGCTACACAGAGAAACCCTGCCTCAAAAACAAAGAAACAAACAAACACAAATTTGCAATTATCTCATTTAGTCATTTCTTATAGTTGATCACTATCCTGAAAAAGGCTGAGAGAAAAATCAAACAATATCAAAATGACTTTGTCAGATGGAAAATAAACCGATTTCTGAAATGATCTGCCTTTGCCATATAATCAAACTCCCACGGCTGGAACTGATGTCTCCACACAGGGACCATGGCCTCTGCCCAACACAACACACACTCTTCACCCATGCAAGCAACTCACCTACTTACAGTTATCAGTCTGAAATCTGAGAGAGGAAACGTCTTTATCAACAACAACATAACCCAGAAACTGGAGTGATAGCTTAATCACTAAAGTGCTTTTCTTCACATGAGGATATGAGGTGGACTCCCAGAACCCATGTGAGAAAGTGAGACATGGTGGCCCTCTCTTTTACTCCACTGCTGCAGAGGCAGAGACAGGTGAGGCCTTGGGGCACCCTGGTCTGCACACCACAGTGTATGTGGAGAACTCCGGGACACTGAGAGTCCTCAAAAGACATGGAATGTTCCATTGTGTTGTGAATAAGGACGCATCCAGGTTCAAATTGGAGTGATAGTAACAGAGAACTAACTGGTTGATTATAAGAAAATAAATAGGTTTTTCTAATTATTTCATTCCACTTGAAAAAATGTCTAAGGTTTGCCCACAGCAAGGTGTAAGGTACCTGACAAATGAAACCTGTGTTGCTTCTGAATTTGCCATGCACACATGTATACCAGTAACTTAAAGGGATATACTAGTTGAGAGAAGGGAGAGAAAGAGGAGGCAAAAGGAAAGCAAAGAAAGGGAAGGAAAGGAGAGACAGAGACAGAGAGACAGAGACAGAGAGAGACAGAGAGAACTGCAGTAGATGTCTTCAGTTCTGGTCTTTAGTTCTATGGAATATTATAGAGCATTTCCAGACGTTACAGTCAGGGAATGTTTCATCATGTTGTGAACACAGATTCATCCCAGTCCACGTTGAATGACTGTAAGAGTCATACAAAAATAAATAGGCTTTCCAATTATTTCAATCCACTGCAAAACTGTCTAAGAGCTGCCCACAGCAGTTAGCTTCAAATGCTTTCAAATCTTGTAAGTGTTGGCTCTGTTTTGGCCTCTAATAATCTCCACACTCCTTTCTAGTATTCCCTCTCACTTACTCTCTTCCCACACAGCAGGTACAATATTTCTTCTCGTTCTTAGGATACCACATCCAACCTAATCCTTCTCCTGGACATCATTCTTACTGTCTGGTCTACCTTTCCTCTGCTATCGAAGAAAGGTGAGCACTCACCTGTGCTGCAGTCTATGGCAGTTGGTGTTAGTTGTCAAGATGATGAAATCCAGCATCGTCTGAGAGATGGGACTCTGGACATGCTTCTAGCGGATCATCTTGATTTTGTTATTTGCTGTCTGGAGGCTGATGGTGGTTTGCATGGGAACGGCTGCCATAGGCTCATATATTTGAATACTTGATTATTAGGCATTCGAGCTACTATTTGAGGGTTTAGGATCTGTGGCCTTGTTGGAGGAAGTGTGTCACGAGGATGGGCTTTGTAGCTTTAAAAGCTCAAGCCAGGCCCAGTGTCTCTCACTTCCTTTTGCCTAGAGACCCAGATGTAGGACTCTGAACTACTTCTCCAGCACAATGTCTGCCTGCATGCCTCCACGCCTTCCACCATGATGACAACTGACTAAGCCTCTGGCACTGTACGCAAGTTCCAGTTAAATGCTCTCCTTTGTAAGAGCTGCCATGGTCATGATGTCTCTTCTCAGCAATAGAACACTGACTAAAACAGGATTCATCTTGTGTCCTGGACCATTTCCTGGACTGGGCATCCTGGGCTGTTTAAAATGGAAAGAGAGCTGAGCACTAGCCTTTATCCATCTCTGTACTTCCTGACTGCAGATGTGATATGTGAAGCTCCCGTAGGCTCCTGTTGTCTAGACTTCCCCACTGTGATGGACCTGGAACTATGAGCCAAAATATGTCCTTCTTTCTTAAGCTGCCACTGTCAGAGAATTTTATTGTAGCAGGAGAAAAGGAAATGACAAATCTGCAGAGCGTTTCCGAGAGACCTATCCCAACCCCCTAATATATACCTAACTCCAGAGCAAGCATTTCTGTGAAACACTACCTGGTTGTATTTACTTCATTACACTGAAATTGTTTAAATACTTCCTTGTTATTTTGTTTATTGTCACTGTGTTTAGCAATTGTGCCCAAAGCCTTGCTCCTGGGGAATCAGTAGTGCTCAAATATGTACAATAAGATATTATTAAAAGTGTTTTGAATGGATATACTAACTGAAATAATAGCAAATTGCCCGTCTTTCCTACAAAAATGTAACTGAGAGCAAGGAGAGCATCACCATCAGGATGAGGATGACATAGCCCACCCTTTTCATTGTAGAATTGCTATCATCTGTATGTGTTTGTGTGTGTTTGCAATTTATGTATAAACCCATTTACAGATATATATTCATGAGTGCATTTGTGAAATCCATCCAGAGTGTTAAAGCCCCACTGTTAAGCACACAGAGATGCCTTCTGTGCCCCCACACTTAGTAATTGTATCCAAAAGTCTTGTTTATGTGTTAGTTATCACCAAAAGACTCTTTTAAGGGCATCTATGTCTTCTTTACCTTAAAAGCTACACCATCGTGCACAAAGCCTCAGACATGGCAAAGATCCAAGATCTGCCTTAGTTTAAAAATATAATTGACTGAGCCAAAAATAGAATTGTGCGACAATAACTTTCACAGGTACCCTTCAGATAATTTGCTGAACATTATCTTTCTACAAAGCCCTATTGCTCTTATTCTTTTAGTTATTTAAAACCTATTAACTTTTTCTAAATTATGCATTAGATTTTTTTATTTCTATTATTCCCCAATATATTCAGAAAGTACCTTTCAAAACACTTCAGTGTAATTTGTTTTTTTTTTAAAGTACACAATTAGAAGTTTCTCTATTTGAATTAGTCATAGATAGCAAGATATCAGGACGGTATACAGACAGGGACATATTTAGCAGCAAGTATAGTTCAAGAAGTGATGCTTGCTGAGCATGGAGTATAGAGAGAAAAATGAAAAGCCTTCTTATGTAACACAAGGTGGTTATTTCTAAGCATAAGAATTTTTTTTTAAAAATATTAGAGCTATGTTGGCCTAAACCTTGTGATTTCCCTGCCTCACCTTTCTGATTCTTGAGGTGAAAGACAGGGATAGCACAGCTGGTAGTTTTAGAAAATGTTCATTTGCTAAGTGAGATATTGACTTTATTTTAATGGTGAGATTTTAGAGTAATGAAGTCAATTTTAATAACACAATTATTTCCAAGAGGGAGCAGGGGAGATGGCTTGGTAGAGGAAGGGCTTGCCAGGCAAGCATGGCAACCTGAGTTGATTCAAAGGACTCATGGCATAGGAGGTCCTTCTGTTTATGGGCTGCTTTCATTATTTAATGAATAAAGAAACTGCTTTGGCCTTTTGATAGGGCAGAACTTAGGTAGGTGGGGAAAACAGAACTGAATGCTGGGAGGAAGAAAACAGAGTCAGAGGAGATGCCATGGATCCTCTGCCTGAGATGGACACCAGTTAGAATTTTACCCTGTGAGCCACTGGCACGTGGCAATAAACAGATTAATGTAGATGGGTTAAATTAATATGTAAAAGTTAGCCAATAAGAAGTTAGAGCTAATTGGCCAAGCAGTGTTTTAATTAATATAGTTTCTGTGTGGTTATTTCGGGGCTAAGCTAGCTGGGCGGCTGGGACGAGCAAGGAGGCCCTCCTTGCAACAGACTCAAGTTAAAAACTGAGGGCTTCTGTATGTGCCTTTGATTTCAGTGCTGGGAGTCAGAAGAAAGAAGGGTCCCTGGGGCTCTCTGGCTAGTGAGTTTAGGAGAACAAGCAATTCAAGCACAGTGCAAAACACTGTCTCAAAAGTAAGAGGGATTTTGACTGATGAAGACTTTCTACATTGACTTCTGGCCTGGACACACTTGTAGCCACACTTTCATGCATCTTTACACACATCTACTCACAGAAATAGGTAAATACACACAGATACACACACACACACACACTGAATTAAGTGAGTTAAATTTCTTTAGCCATCATCAAAATCCCCAAAGGAGTAAAATGAAAGGAGGAACTATTTATTGAAGTTTGTGGTTTCAGAGATCTCTGTCAGTGGTGTGCCAGCTCCATTTTCTTGGGCCCTAGTTGAAGCTGACCATACTGGTGTTCAGGCACACATGTAGGAGGCTGGCCACCTCAAGGCAGATAGGCAGAAGAGTAGAGCAAGTTACCAAGAACTGGACGTATGTTCAGTGATCTGCTTTTCTCTGAAAAGGCCCTGCGTTTTAAACTTTTTACCCCCTTTCAAAATAGTACCACTAAATGGAAACCCTGCCTTTTACCAGTGGGTACGTGAGGGAGACAAAACATTTGGATTATCACAATTAGCCATCACTTCGAAAGAAAATTTCTAAAAATTAAACTACACATATTTATTTTTATATGTGTGGAAGGAGGAGTGACACCCATATGTCATTAGAGGATAATTTGCCATAGTTGGTTCTCTTTCTTTTACTATGTATGCCAGGAATTGAACTCTGGTAGTCAAGCTT